TTAGGAGGTAAAAACTGCACAAAAGTTCATACTGTTACATTATATGTCTTCATGCTTTTAAAGAAATTTTTGATGAAATATCTGTACAATGTAAAATTACTGCGTATAAATATATGTTCAAGCATGTTAGGCAGATCTAATCTTCCCATCTAAAGTTTATTTTGACCTAGAATACTCCCTAACACAAACATCAGCTTCTCTCATTAACTGCAGCTAGTGTACTTGAAAAATCTATTTTTAGAATCCAGATTTGCTGTGGGAATCTTTAAACTAATTACTTAACAACACTGACCACTGCAGCTAGTGTGCTTAACTGAGTATAAGATATTGTGTCCAGATGTATCAAAAAGCTCAATTAACTCGAGCGAGTCAACTCGCAGGCCCTTCAGGCCTTTGATTTCTAATTACCTTCTTTTATGGTTGATCAATTAAGTTCAAATTTGATTTGTTGGTTAAATGGACAATAAGACATTTTTGATGCTATTCTATGCAATAGCTGCATTGTTAATACCCATACTTTCTATTTCTATTGCCAAAAAAAAACATGACCTTCTCATGCAAGTTATGTATTTTTTCTGCATCAGGTGCAACGTTAATTCTTATGCTAACAACCAAGGAAAGCATTTATTGTTAACAATTACACTGAATTGTAAATATCTTGTAGACTGAACCGAAATATCAATATGAATAACAAACCATATTCAACATCAAAAGAGTTCATAACAGGTGACCTATTGCTATCCGTTTTCGTCCGTCGTGCGTCATGTGTTGTGTGTTAACATTTGAACATTTTCAGCTTCTTCTCTGAAACCACTGAACCAATTTCAACCAAATTTGGTATACAGCATCTATGGGTAAAGGGAAACAAAAATTGTGAATTTCATGACCCCGCCCCCCTGGGGCCTGAGGGGATGGACCAAAACCACTAAAATTAATGAAATATTTAAAAATCTTCTTCTTTACTCCTGGACATCAAGCAGGCAAACTGTTGGCATGAATCTAATGAGCATTGAGTCCTCTACAAAAATTGTGAAAGTCATGGCCCCAGGGTCAGGGGTTCTAGTGCTAGCTAGGGCGGGGCTCTATAGATTATATAGTGAAAATGCATTATTTCTTTGAAAATCTTCTTTTCTGCTCCTTGGTATTAAATAAACTATCTAAGCACATAGTTATGATAAGCAAAGTTGCCTCTTCAAGTTTGTGAATTGTATGGCCCCAGGGTCAGGGGTTCTGGTGTTAGGGCGGGGCTCTATTGATTGTATAGTGAAAATGCATTATGTTTTTGGAAAATCTTCTTCTCTGCTCCTGGGTATAAATAGACTAACTAAGCACATAGGTATGATGAGCAAGAGTGCCTTTTCAAGATTTGTGAATTTTATGACCCCAAGGTCAGGGTTCTGGTGTTAGGGTGTAACGTTGAATATTGACCCGAGTTGAAAATTGACCCGGGGGTCATTTTTCAACGTTGAATATTGAACCGGGGTCATTTTTCAACGTTGAATATTGAGACAAAAAGTCGTTGAATTTATACCCGGGGTCATTTTTCAACAGCTTGATAATTTTTTTCTTACACCTGTTGACGTCAACATGTTGAAAATTGACCCTGTTGAATATTGACCCCTCCTCAAAGTTTGAACATTTTTTTTAGGTGGGAAGTTGTTTTACGGGATTTATCATGCAATATCACTTTATTTATATTTCGGTTTCAATTTTTTCCCCTTTCAAGAATAATAGAAATAAACATACAGTATCACCCCGTGTATATATGTACAATTTGATCAGTTCACGATTTCAGTTATCTTCAAGCATGACAACTTTATTTTTGAAAATACTTTCCAAAATCCATGGCATCCATAAATAACTACAAAACAACGAATAGGGCATAAAACAAAAATCTTAAAAATCTGCTGTATAGAAAGTGAGCCCTATATATATTGACCAGGTGGGTGGAACATCCCATCTAGTCAAATTCAGTATAAAAATAACAAAATTAATTGCCCCAAAATTAGAATGAAACACTCCGACCAAAATGATTCCAATGATAGGTTATATTTGTAAAAAAAAAAAAAAAGAGCAATATTATAGCGACCATAGCATGTAAGTACTGACTTTAAATAAATTGTTGAAATCCCTGTAACAATTAACTTATTTGTCAGTAGCCTGTCTCGGCTTGAAATTTGATCGCTTCCGGACCATAACCTTATGAATGAGATTATTCTTATTCTAAAAAAAAATCTTATTCTATACAACGTGATTCCTATTTGATTACTTGTTATTTCTATTCCATTATTTGTAATTTGTATTCGATAAATTGCTATTCCAATTACAGGAAATGTGAGAATATGATTTAAATATCATTAAATTTACATATTTTTTTCTCGAAAACACGAGGAAGTGCTTTGGGAGAAAGGCGTCTTTGGAATCTCAAATTCGAAGGCATTACAGAGTACTGTGTTCTTTTATGCATGTATGTTGTTTGTCCTGAGCAAGGGGCTTGTCTTCCGGTCCGGATTGATAAATGTAAAATAATTTTTTTTTCAATTTTGTATTACATAATAGGTGTAGTACTTTTTGTAAAACAATATTTTTCTCGATTGATCGTGTCAGAATCTTTATTAAAGCAACTTTTGTTTAAACTAGAATTGGTTGTAAACTGCATTTAATCAAAGTTTTAATGTAGGATCTAATCATATATACATGTATATTCCCGAGTAAAATACACATTTTGTTTTAGATCAGAGAATTGATAGCAGAAACACGAAATTGATACAATAATTTCCTAGCGTATTTCTCGTTAATTAACGGAAAACATTCTTTTCAAATGAAATAGGCCTTTAATTGTCACCAAATGTGTTATGTTATGACATACAATCGAGCAAAAACGCAGTTTCTTGGTATCAGTCACGGAAAACGGCCTGGCTGTATTGATTATATAGTAAAATACATTAATTCTTTGAAAATATTTTCCTTTGCTTCTGGGTTTTATGCCAATGATCCAAGTAAATATATATTTATGATGAAGAAAGGTGCATCTAGCAAAGTGGTTTTTTATGCCTCCAGGGTCAAAAGGGGGGGGGGGGGTTACATAGTCTGAAAATAAATTAATGCTTTGACATCTGCTCTTTGCTATTAATCAACCATTTTATGATTATATTTGCAAAATTTTGAAATATGTGGCCCATTGGTCAGTGGGTGAGGTGCACAACTGGGTATAAAGTTGAAGTGCATTTTCTCTTTATTACTCTGATCTACCTCTAGGTATTAAGTAAATAGTAAAGCATGCTAAGTTAGTAATTATGATAAGCAACGGTGCCTCTTTCAAAATTTTAAATTGTGAATTTCATGGCCACCGGTTTAAAACACGAACCAAATTTAATTGTTTGAAAGTTGTTACACAATACTCAGGTGACCTATAAGGCCCATGGGCCTCTTGTTTATACTAGAATATCCTAAAGATTTTGCTCCTGTTATTTTATGCTGATTTCCTGTTTAAGCATGTTAATTATTGTTTCTAGATAAGTACAAAAGAAATTCAAATAAATGGTTATTCGTATTAATGTACTTACCCAGAATTATATATAGCATAACAACAAATGTTCTTTGATGATATTGTAAACAAAACTTTTGCTATTAACTGTAAAATTAGTTTTTAAATACAACTAATTACAAGAGGCTCACAATCCTTATAGGTCACCCGAGTATTATATAATAACTTTTTAACAAATGAATTTGTCTCGTGTTTTAAAACAGAGGTCATAATATTCACAATTTTGAAAGAGGCACCATTGCTCATTTTAAGTATACATGTAGAATGCTTTAAGTTTGAATACTTAATACACAGAGGCAGAGTAGGGGAACAAAGAAAAATGCATTTCTATTTATCAGTAGTGCCTCACCCTACAGGAACCTCTGACCCTGGGGCCACACATTTCACAATTTTGGAAATAGGCAACCTTGATCATCATAAATGTTAGATGAATACCAAGGAACAAATTTCAAAGCATTAATTCATTTACAGTATGTATAATCATTATTGCCCTCCTCCACTTGGTAACCCTGGCCAAGGGACCTTGAAACTAAACATTAAAATGTTTTCTTTGTTTGTTATTACTGGAATTAACGGAATCAGCTGTTGCAGAAAAAATGCGGGTTTTACGCGGGTTATGTAATTTTTCTGCAATAGCTGCGATCGTTAATTCTAGTAATAACAAACAAAGGAAGACATTTTATTGTTTATATTTATATCTGTTAAAATAATCATTTAAATAATTAAAAAGTTTAATTATTGTATTAATGATGCAAACAGCCACTGATCAAGAAATCTGTACATGCAGGCGATATGCCTAATGTAGTTCATGCAGTTATTAATTAACGCAATGGGTTTTCTTAAGAAATAAAGGAGAAAATATTCAGCGGATGTAAATATTACACAAATATGAAAGAGGAATCCTTGTTTATCATAACTAAATACTTAGATCGTCAGCATAATACCCAGGAGCAGAAAAGAAAATTTTTAATCAACTCATGCATTTTCACTATATAATCATTAGAGTCCCACCCAAACAACAGACCTCTGACCCAGGGACCATGAATTTCACAATTTTGGTGGAGGACTGCTTATTACAATCATGCCAACAGTTTGGCTGCTTGATGTTCAGGAGAATAGAAGAAGATTTTTGGTTTTAACTAAACCCCACAAGCGCCAATGGGGCAAGGGCCATGAATTTCACAATTTTTGTTCCCCTTCACCCATAGATGGTATATGCCAAATTTGTATGAAATTGGTTGAGTAGTTCATAGAAAAAGTTTAATATTTTAAAATATCAATGTATGACGCACAACACATGGCGATGGCTAAGACAGATAGCAGAGTGAGTGACTCACAAAGTGATTCAGATGACCTAAAAATGCATTGATATACTGCAAAGTGGCTTCAAATTATTATAATGTATTGTACTGTATCATGTTTATTTTTATTTGCTCAACACACAGTCGTAAAATCAACACATGTACATGTAGTTAATTTTCTTCACATATCTTTCAAATCTTTGAGATACAAACAGATTGTCATTTCTATCTGTACACAGTCCCCATGGATAACTTAGTCCACAGTCTATGTAACGGAGAAACTGTCCATCTTGCTCTATGATGTGGACACAGTGATTGTTATTATCAGCTGTAAGGATGTGACTCTGACTGTCTGTGGTGATTCCCCGTGGATCAAATGATTCATTCTTTGGAGAAGGCATATGTCCAGCGTATTTGAATCTTAATTTCCCGGCCTGATTGACCACAACTACTGCTTTAGCTCCATCATCAGACACACAAATATCCAGGTTCCTGTTCTCAGTAATGTATCTGTTACAGAAACCAGCAAAATAGAGAGGTTTACCTTTATTATCAAACTGAATGGTTTGTTTCTCTGTTGATCCAGAGTAACGGACAACTTTTGTTTGTTTGCTATCATTACTATCCATGATAACCAGGAGGTCACCAGAAGAGGTACTACAGACACCGCGAGGTTTCCAGTTCTGTAGTCTGATCACCTCCTCTATCTTCTCATTCTTTATAATGTTCACAGTTCTATCCCAATAATCAGTATAAACTAGATCTCCATTTTTTGTTACTGCTATGTCATATGGTATGTTTCCTGACTCGGTTTTGATTGACTTAAGTAGTGATCCCTGATTGATGTTGTAAAGTTTCATAGTACCGTCATTTGCCTTTGTCCAGATTTCCCCCTCACTCAGACAGGCCACAAGGATAAGTCGTCTATAATTAGTTTTTATGGTGTTGACAATCTCTGGTTCATCAAGGAGCTGTTTGACTGGAGGAGAGGAACCAGCTTCTGGTGATTTCTGTGTAGTTTTCATGCTGTAGTTATGTATTTCTGAAGTGAAAGAATTTTGTGATAATGTTCCAAACAATTTTCGGAGTTTTTCGATTTGGATTTTTTCTGGAATGAATTTTGATAAAGTTGGTACTATTTTTTGTGGAAGGTTTCTGTACATATGTACATTAGAAGTGACACTAAACAGTTTTGACAAGTCATTTGTGTTTATAGCCATTTCAACTGAACTAGTTTCATCCTTGATGTCAGACATTTTCTTGTTTATTTCATTAAGATGTTTCTGTAGAGTTTGTAACTGAGTGTTTTTTATCTCATCAACTTCAGCTTTAAGTTTCTTGACAAGTTTGTCAATTTCTCTGTGCCAGTCCTCTCCATGTTTTGTTATGGCTGTTGAGAGATCTCCATATTCCCTTTCTAATTGACTCATTCTGTTTTGTACATCAGAGGCAATGTCCTGGTAGGTTGGAAAAATTGTTTCATTTACTTCTGTTTGTTCTTTGATTATTTTTTCCCTTTTTTCATCCACAACTTGTAAGATCTCTGAAATCTTATGACCTAGATGTTTATCAGATGCAATGCATTTTGTACAAGCAGGAGTGTCACAATGATTACAGTACATTGTACATTGTTCTTTGTAATGAAATTTACACACAGGGAAGAGGGGTGTGGATTTCTTTGACTTAAATTTGACGACTTTATGGTCCTTGGATTCATCAGATATCATATGTTTCCCTACACAAGCTGTACATAGGTTGACAAGACATGTATCACAATGCATCTGTACCACAGCGGTCTCACACAGGTCACACTGCATCACATCTTGGGCACTGGTGCGGGGGTCCATTGTTAAACATGTAACTCTAAAATATATAGTTTATAACTTAAAGGCGTTAGGATAGAGCTAAGTTGGTAATATATTTGAGAAATCATTACATCTTCTTTGTTCCCTTTCTGAAGGATATGTGGCTGGCAAATCTTTTGCTTGATTACAGAGTACTATTCTTATTTTATTGATATTGATAGATAGATAAGCTTTATTTAAAGTCAGTTTGGTAGTTAAAAAGTAACACAAGCTCTAATGAGCTTTTGACTGACATGTTTAACATATACATAACAGTAAAACAATGAAAATTTGCAGCACTATATAAACATAGAATTACTTGCAACAATACAGCACACAGTCTAAGTTAAAGGACATTATCAGTTAAAGATACATATAAAAACACACATGTACAGACACATAAACAATACAGCACAGATGCATAGAGAAAGCAACAGGTATACATATATAAGTCACATTACAAAATCGACAAACATAAAAAGAACATAACAGAAAAAAAAGAAAAGAAAAACTGACACACATGCACAGACAAACAAACAAAAAGGACACAACTTACCTAGTGGAGCAGGCTGTACACTCACAGTCCTTACCGCTCCAAGAGGCAATCAGAAATTTAAACTGTAAAAATTTGGTTTGACATTTAAAATGTTCAGGTAAGGAGTTCCATAAAACTGGTGCTGCATATCTAAAAGACATTTTGCCATATGATGTAGTTCTCACTTTTGGTATTTCTAAAATGTTTGAATATCTAAAATTGTATGTCACTTTCTTAAAACTCAATAAGTCTGACAGACATCTAGGAGAAAGGTCATGTAAAATCTTAAAACATTCCAGAGCCATGCTACGCATTCTTCTAATCTCTAATGATGGTAATTTTGCCTTAAGTAGTAATGACTCATAGCTACTCTCCAAATCTCCATAAATAAAACGTAAAGCTCTTTCTTGAATTATTTTAATTTTCCTGGTATTTTTCTTGGAGCAGAAGTGCCATACAAGAGGACAGAAATTAAAATTTGACAAAATAAAACTATAAAATATTGTAATTTTGTTTGCCCGAGTTTATACTGAGCCAATGCGTTTTAACACATTTAATTGTTAGGCAGCTTTTTTACAGATATTACTAATATGGACATCAAATTTGAGCATAAAATCAATATCAATATATACGCACAGTATGATATCTATAATAGGGATGTCAAATCGGTCAATTTTTGATAATCGATTATTTTGACGATTTTCCGATCTAGTATCCGGTAACTCGGTAAAAATGTGTTTAATTTTATTGAGGTCAGTCAAGCCCTAATTAATCCAATCATTTTTTTTCATGCATGTTTTATTGCCTGCCACAAACATCGAGCCTAATGAAAATAATTTCTTGTTCTAAACTTATTTCTAAAAAAAAAGAACAACAAACAAACAAAACAAACAAATATACACGAGTACACAGCCATAGGTGATAACGGGTACATCAAATATTAACAGGTGTGTGTGACGCTAATTACATGTACTGTATAAACATGGACAGTACATATGCACTTTGTACTTTGAAATTTGAAAAAATATACATCTGAGTAGCCGAGTAGCGATTTTAGTATTCGATACTCGGTCATTCGATCTTGCACTAGGTTAACCGGGTACTTGTTGACATTCCTAATATATATATTTTTTTCAAACAGTGAAATATATGGTGGGGTTTTCGTCACATACATGTATTGCAAATGCATTACATCTTGGTTATGTTCAGTCTGATGGAGAATTTTACAGGAAATCTATTTGCATAATTATGATATAATGATTAACAATTATGAAAATTGCGGATAGATGGCATGGAGCTGAGTTTGCCACTCGAAGAAACTACATAAAGGGACTTCGTTCCTCAGCCAGGAAGGACAACTCTTTAATTTATTATTTAATTCAAAAAGTCTCAGTATGAAGCTTAAAAAATAATTATTTTCGTGCAACAATTTTCATAATTTACCTCTCAATTAGCTTCAAGGTTCTTTGAAATTTTCAGAAAGGTCTAATTAAAAGTCGAAATTTTTATCCCGTAATAGCATTTTAAAAAGACATATATCAGAAAATTGATGTTCATTTTAATCTAACCATAGATGCCAATGTTTCTTAACATGATATGAAATTAGAAGTTATTTATGGAGCTTTGCGATGACAGGTTAATCTTTATACACTTTGTATTGTAAAATGATCGAAGTAGTTTAAAGAAATTAAAGTATTTTATGTACTTTATGTATAAAAAATGTGGAATTTCTTCAAAAGCCTGGATACCAATGTGTTATTTGATCAAATTTAATTGGAAAATGCATAGCATGACTGTTTTTATTCGCAATTCCTGAAAATATATTTGAGATTTACTAATTTTCTCTATATAATTTGATTGAATTAAAAGATGAAGTTTAAAAAAAAATGGGAAGGGTAAAAACACGTTACTTTGAAAACTCAGAAACATTTTTGTGAGTATTTTCAATTAGTCAATGCTTGATTTTCATAACCTGAGGATCGGAGTACTTTAAACCTGATGCAGAATGAATTATTCTTCATTTAAGGAGGCTGGAGGGTCAACAAATTAATCCCAAATTAACCACCAGATTTCAATTATTTTTTTACATACGGTATCTTTAGCTGTCAACTATCATTTGACAAAGAAAAAATTCATATATTTTAGTTTTAAAATTTGATCATTTTGTATATCTTTATATGGAGCTCTGCTTTTAAAGGAGATTGAAATAGTCTAAAAATGGCTGCCACCCCCTAACCTCGTTAATGACCATAAAAATCCTTGGTCATGTTCTATTATTTTTCTTTTATTATCCTACAGTAGGAAAAAATATAAATCAAAAGACCAAAATGTAAAATTATACATAAACAATACCTGACTTCTACATTTTCTACGTCCGTAATGGCTGCCAATAAAAGGGGTGTTGTTATGTCACGCGACACGACTTGTTTACAATTGTTATCTACTTGTTATCCTGCATGGTCTATATACGAGGGTTGTCTGGTAAAATCGTGGACAAGTTGTCTCGCGTGAATAATAATCACCACTGCGTTCTGAAATTTTCCCTACTACTTAGTGCATATTTGCTGAATAAACATTGCATATTTCAAATAGACATATGCATAAATAAACGAATTATGAAATTTTATTTTATGTATTATATCGCCTTACGGCGCACGGATGATAACGTCAAAGTGCCTAAAACAGCGTCACGTTTCATCTTTGCGCTAAAAATAATGTTTGATAAGCCCCACTTTAATTGCGGAATTTCATTGATGCATATATTTTAGTCCCCATAAACAATTGAGGAACCAATATGGCACAAACGCGCGATCTTCTGAGGATTTATTAGTAAAATACGGACAACATTCCCACCATCATTCAACTACGAGGACAGTTCAACAAATAATGTCCTCGTTGCTTGGAAAGAAGCAAAAAACGCTTTTCAATGATTTAGTCTTCATTATTTTCCTTATAAATCCCTTTTAATTAAAACACATTTCCGTAACATTTTTTATCTAATTTCTGATTGTTTTTAGAACTCATTTTTGGGTATGACTCTAAGTATACTGGAAAATGGCAGATCCAATGATTTCGGGGACTTGTTTCGTCTTCTGAAAGCAGTTTTTTCAAGTTTGGAAATAGAGAGAAGTCAAAAGGTCAAAGATATGGCGTATATTGTTAATGTAAAAAAAACATTTACTTTCTGTTTATCCCGAAAACCCCTTAACTCTTCAGAGTTGCGGGTTTGGACGCTGTCATGAAGAATTTTAATGTAGTTGATTCCTGATTTTGGGTCCTTCCTCTAATAAACCTTTTGATTTTTTTGCAAAACATTGCTTTGTAGACTCCTTCAGAAATTAAACTGTCTCCCCAGATACAAATTTATACAACAATACCACTAATATTTAAGAAAATTGCATATAAATTTGTCTTTTTGCTTTTGCATATCTTTGCTCTTGTCAAATCTTCGCTGTTTTTATCAAGTACATCTTATGGTAAATTTTGATTTGAGGGTTTTAAGCAATAGATTCATGTTCCATTATCTGTTTGAATATCAAACAAACGTGGATAACTACAATTACAGATATTTTAAAATAATTGTAGAGACATTCGTACACGTTGTCGTTTTGACTCATTTTTCAAAATATAGGGTGACATTTGAGTTCCACGCTTTTTACCGTCAAGCGTTTCTTAAAACAGTGTAAACTACTCCCGATATGATGTCTTTCAAATTTGCTATGTTTCTTAAAGTCAATCATACATCATCAAATATTGTTTTTTGAAATTTGGCAAACAGTACATAAGTTGTTGTAATTTTTGTTGGCAAGGACGGTACCCATTTTTGATGCCCATTGTATAATTTTTTATCATTGAAATCCACCTGCTCATTTGTCTAGAAAACTGGCATTGGTTGCAGTAAATGTAACATATTTCAAAGAATATATCTTTGGGATTAATAAAAAGTTTTACAGCAGCTTTAATGAAGCCTTTATTTTCACTCTAGTTTACTGATTCTTAACCCTTTATTTATAATGCAGTGTCTAGAATAGTCCTTGTTTCTCAGCTTCTCACGATGAAACTATGTGATGAAAAGTGGTCACATAAACTGTTATAAATTTATTAAAGATTTAATAATGAGAGAAAGTCAAGTTTAATGTCATATGGTACCTGTTTTGTATGTCATACAGTTCAGAACTTTATTTATTGAACAGCCCTCGTTATAGACATTCTTATATTGACGGTCAGCAGTGACAGCATCTTTTGCTATTAAAATAGCAGTCTGCCTGTATGTTTTGTACTTCCTCGAAACTCGATCAAGAAAGATTTTAGTAAGAAAACCCATTTCATTTCTTTATTAATTTTTTTTTTCTTCTGTATTCATTAAAAGTGTTTCACGGTGTTATAACCCCATCTAAATAAAAGCCAACTCCTCTCCGGTGCGCCGTAACGTCATTAAACGTCACCAATTTTCGTGTGTTGTGTTCACCACTTTCCTTTTTCAAATGCTATGGAAACTGCCATAAATTGACCAAATGCCTTGACTTTTTTAAACAGAGGACAAAACACATTTTTGAATCAACAAGGAAAATTTCTGCCCTAATCTTATCTATTTAATTTTTTTATTTTCATGTATTCTCTAATAAAACCTTCGATTCTTGACCGTGCGCCGTAGGACCTTACTTTGTACGCATAATAATTTTTTTGTGTGTGTATATTGCATCTAAAATTATGATGCACTAAAATATGATAAATAAACATTCACTGAAAATTTCAGGTTAGTGCGTCCATTATTTAAAAAAAAAAAAACGCTTTGTCCACGATTTTACCGGACAACCCTCGTATAGTGGGGATTAAAGGGTTTGCTTTTGTGTGCTGCCAAGTGAGACTCACTAAAAAAAACCTTAATATCTTTAAAAATAAGCCTTCACAACACTTGATTGATTGTATATTGTTTAACGTCCCTCTCGAGAATTCACTCATATGGAGACGTCACCGATTTTGACCCTTACTCGGCACTCATAGCCATGAGCAGTGAGGGATCTTTATCGTGCCAACGCCTGCCGCTGACACGGGGACTCGGTTTTTAAGGTCTCATCCGAAGGACCCGCAACTTTCACTTCAAAGTGCCGAGCGCACGGCGAAGGAACAGTTGCTACCCATTTTATCGACTGGGTCAGTCGCGGTCGAGATACAAACTCACGACCTTCCGATCACAGAGCGAGCGCTCTACCGACTGAGCTACCGTGATAGGTTACAACACTTATCCATAATGATTTTCATAATAAAACCATCTTTGGGTATATCCAGCTACATTTACACTTGCAGTAGTTTGCAGCTATTAAGTGGACAACAAACTTGCAGGACTGTGCCGCAACAAGTTTTAGCATAATACCGAAAAATCCTAAAAATATATATAGGTACAGAAACATACTTGGTAGGTATTAGTAGTCAGATAATGGAGATATAGACAGCAACATACTAGGTAGGTATTAGTAGTCAGATAATGGAGAAATAGACAGCAACATACTAGGTAGGTATTTATAGTCAGATAATGGAGAAATAGACAGCAACATACTAGGTAGGTATTTATGGTCAGATAATGGAGAGATAGACATCAACATACTAGGTAGGTATTTATGGTCAGATAATGGAGAGATAGACATCAACATACTAGGTAGGTATTTATAGTCAGATAAAGGAGAAATAGACAGCAATATACTAGGTAGGTATTTATAATCAGATAATGGAGAAATAGACAGCAACATACTACGTTGGTATTTATAGTCAGATAATGGAGAAGTAGACCTCTACATATTAGATAGATATTTATAGTCAAATAATGGAGAAATAGACAACAACATACTAGGTAGGTATTTATAATCAGATAATGGAGAAATAGACAGCAACATACTAGGTAGGTATTTATAGTCAGATAAAGGAGAAATAGACAGCAACATACTACGTAGGTATTTATACTCAGATAAAGGAGAAATGGACAGCAGCATACTAGGTAGGTATTTATAGTCAGATAATGGAGAAATAGACAGCAACATACTAGGTAGGTATTTATAGTCAGATAAAGGAGAAATAGACAGCAACACACTAGGGAGGTATGTATATTCAGATAATGGAGAAATAGACAGCAACATACTAGGTAGGTTTTTATAGTCAGATAAAGGAGAAATAGACAGCAGCATACTAGGTAGGTATTTATACTCAGATAAAGGAGAAATAGACAGCAGCATACTAGGTAGGTATTTATAGTCAGATAATGGAGAAATAGACAGCAACATACTAGGTAGGTTTTTATAGTCAGATAATAGAGAAATAGACAACAACATACTAGGTAGGTATTTATACTCAGATAAAGGAGAAATAGACAACAACACACTAGGGAGGTATGTATATTCAGATAATGGAGAAATAGACAGCAACATACTAGGTAGGTTTTTATAGTCAGATAAAGGAGAAATAGACAGCAGCATACTAGGTAGGTATTTATACTCAGATAAAGGAGAAATAGACAGCAGCATACTAGGTAGGTATTTATAGTCAGATAATGGAGAAATAGACAGCAACATACTAGGTAGGTTTTTATAGTCAGATAATAGAGAAATAGACAACAACATACTAGGTAGGTATTTATACTCAGATAAAGGAGAAATAGACAGCAGCATACTAGGTAGGTATTTATAGTCAGATAATGGAGAAATAGACAGCAACATACTAGGTAGGTATTTATAGTCAGATAAAGGAGAAATAGACAGCAACATACTACGTAGGTATTTATACTCAGATAAAGGAGAAATAGACAACAACACACTAGGGAGGTATGTATATTCAGATAAAGGAGAAATAGACAGCAACATACTAGGTAGGTTTTTATAGTCAGATAAAGGAGAAATAGACAGCAGCATACTAGGTAGGTATTTATACTCAGATAAAGGAGAAATAGACAGCAGCATACTAGGTAGGTATTTATAGTCAGATAATGGAGAAATAGACAACAGCATACTAGGTTGGTATTTATAGTCAGATAAAGGAGAAATAGACAGCAACATACTACGTAGGTATTTATACTCAGATAAAGGAGAAATAGACAACAACACACTAGGGAGGTATGTATATTCAGATAATGGAGAAATAGAGAGCAACATATTAGGTAGGTTTTTATAGTCAGATAATGGAGAAGTAGACAGCAGCATACTAGGTAGGTATTTATAGTCAGATAATGGAGAAATAGACAGCAACATACTAGGTTGGTATTTATAGTCAGATAAAAGAGAAATAGACATCAACATACAAGGTAGGTATTTATAGTCAGATAATGGAGAAATAGCAACATACTAGGTTGGTATTTATAGTCAGATAATGAAGAAATAGACAACAACACACTTTATTAAATGATAAGGAATTTTGGTGCTCTCTGATTGGTCTAGACGCCATTTACTGGTGTGTACCTCAGAGTGAGTTCAACTCAAATGAAGTTCTCGGAGGTTTATTCGGGTTTTCCCTCTCGACCAACCATAGATTTGCTTACAGCTTTTTCGACCAATCAGATTGCGTGTTTTAAAGCATGTGTCGGTGTGAATGTAAACATGTCAGACGCCATTACCAAGGAGATTACGAACTTTTGAAAGTAAATGGTTGAGTATTTATTGTTTATTAATATTGTTTTTAACTTATTAATTAATATTGGTTTAGCTGTTGAAGTATATCAGCATGTAATAAGTGTAATTACACTTTACATTATGGATGTTTATATTTGATGGAGACAAGAATGAAAGAGTCAGCAGTGTTGTAAAATTCCTCATTATTTAATAAAACGGTTGTTGACTTTTGAATTCGGTCTACTCGTGACTATACAGACCTGGTCAGGTATTGGTTAAGCTCGGCCTTCGGCCTCGGTCAACCAATACCTGACCAGGTCTGTATAGTCACGAGTAGACCTCATCAAAAGTCAATAATTGTATAAGGTAGATATTTAAAGTCAGATAATGGAGAAATGGACAACAACATTCTAGGTGGGTATTTATAGTCAGATAATGGAGAAATAGACAGCTACATACAAGGTAGGTATTTATAGTCAGACAATGGAGAATTAACAACATACTAGGTAGGTATTTATAGTCAGATAAAAGAGAAATAGACATCAACATACTAGGTTGGTTTTTATAGTCAGATAATGGAGAAATAGACAGCTACATACTAGGTAGGCAATCAAGTGTATTTCATTCTATAGCGGAAGTTGAAGTTGTTTCTATTAACAGGTAGATGTATATCCTGAATAACTAGACATTAATCTTACCATAGGGGGTTGAATAAAATATTCAATTCATAAGATTAGCCAGTAAGAATCTTTTATGAAGTCATGTTCTATTATTTTATTATAATATCAGGAAGAGGTGGCAATTCTCAACCCAAGAAAGGAGAGCCTGTGTTAATAGAACCTACAATAAATTAGATATCAAAGAGTAACATTTTTGTCAATTTACAAATCAACTAAGTAAGAAATTAGCTTTGTTGAAAATATTTTTGAATGTCGGTAAGATATCTACATGTAAGTATTCTGACACAGAAAAAAATGTCTTCTTTGTTTGGTTTCTTTACCAGCAGTATAAAATGAAATACATGTATTCACCTTTAAGTTACATATATTGTCCGGGATTTATGTACAAATGTATTTTCCTTGTTGTTTATAACAGACATCAATGAAGAACAAGAATAACTTGCCCATCAGCAGCTGTAACCTACCCTTGTCATAGAGGTTAGTATTGTTTTGCTAAATTCATCTCTGTTCAACCTAAATGAATTATTTATTGTAAATTCCAAAATATCAATTTGGCAAAAAAGTGAGAAATATGTAATTTTGATAAAAACAATTTTCTTCTTTCTTGTAGAACCTTGGCATGGAGCCAAACAATATGAGAGTTCTCTCCCCTGTGCAGCCGATAGAGGTATGTATCGGTGGGGACTTCCACCTCAAGTTAGTTGGCATGATCCTAGAACATGCATATTGGAGTTTTATGAAGAGACTTACTTTTACATTTGACAACTGACTTTTTACATTTTAGTGATTGGAGTTTATCTCTACATGTATTTAAATTGTAAAAGTCAGTCGTCAACTGTAAAAGTAAGTCTCTTCATAAAACTCCATTAGTATTGTACAACATTTGTATTCTTTTGCCTTATGCGTTAAAGAGCAATAACTTGTATAAGGGGTCATCAGATCCTTTCGCACTGGAACATGAATGTTGTGCCTAAAGTCTGTTAAGGCATTAATGAAGATTTCATGCTTCTGCAATTTATGGCTTCGAAATAGTAGCAATAACAAGGTTTTTCGCATAAAAGGCAATAACTTTTTAAAGGGTCGATCTTAGGGAACAAGAATGAAATCTTTTTAAGAGTACATATTATAGATGCAAAGACATTTAGTATATGTAAAAGACAAAAGAGATATTAAAAAGGCTTATTTTTTCGTTTTTTGAATGACCTTGATCTTTGACCTTTACATTAATTTCATGATCAAAGATAAATGAAGCTGATGCATTTAATCCCATGTCTCTACGACTTTACGTTTTGAAAATATTTAATTATTTCTAAAATTGAAAAAGTTTCAGGGGCAATAACTCATTGAAGGGGTCACCGAATACTTTCGCAATGAATAGATTCCTGAGTCCTCTCAATTAGTCGAAAACTTAAATGAAGGTTTCATATTTCTACGGTTAACGGTTTCGAAGAAGAAGCGATAACAAGGTTTTACGCACAAAGGGCGATAACTTTTAATAGGGTCAATCTTAAGGAATACGAATTAAATCTTTAAAATAGTTTTAAGAGTACATATTAATGATGCTAAGACAGATTGTATATGTTAAAAGACAAAAAAGATTTAAAGAGAGCTTAATATCTCAATTTTGGAATGACCTTGACCTTTGACCTTTGCATTAATTTCATGATCAGAGGTTAATGAATCTTATGCAGTTGATGCCATGTCTCTATCACTTCTCGTTTTGAGATTTTTTAATTATTTCTAAAATTAAAAAAGTTTCAGGGGCAATAACTCATTAAAGGGGTTTACGAATACTTTTGCAATGAATAGATTTCAGAGCCTAGTAAATTAGTCAAAGACTTTAGTGAAGGTTTCATATTTCTACGGTTTACGAATTCGAAGGAGTAGCGATAACAAGGTTTAACGTACAAGGGGCGAAAACTCCGAAAGGGGTCATAGGTCAGGGATGGGGTACTGGTAATGTGTAATGTTAATTGACTGTAATTAATTACAAATTTTGATGTAATTGAAAGTAATGTGTAATTGACCAAATTTTCAATTACAAGTAATGGTAATTCAATTAATTACTTTCCAAAAAGGCATGTAATTCACAATTACTTTTCAAATACATTCAATTACACTGGTTTTAATAAATGAATAATAGTCTCCTCTCCCTCAATTTCATAAACATTATATATGAAAGGTTAATAAATTATATTTTGGGCCAAAAATTTAAAAGTAAAATTTCTTGAAAAGAACTTCCCTTTTAATGTCAATTGTTGTTTAAATACAATGCCCCTTTTAATTAAAAGAAAACTTTTAAATCAAATTAATCTTTGTAAAGTTTACAAATAAAATTCATATTTTGATTTTTTAATTAATTAATCCATACGAAAATAAGAAGTCAAATGGCTTCTAATCCTTTTGTTGGCCATATCTTCAGCTTGTGTTGGATGTTATTAACAGGTGCTAATTAGTGTCTTGGGGTCATATACTTATTCCTAAATAAACATTTTTCACACCTTCGACTTAAAATTTGTCAGTTGGTGTTTTTATACATACTCTTTGACTTTGAATTGTAGTTTGGCACAAAATAAGTCAAATACACACAATTTGAGGTAAACCTATGATGCTAAAATAAGGAAATATAAAGGCAAATTAAAGCATAAAAAGTACATTTAGCATAAATTTATCACTTGTTTATGGAAAAGTTTAAAAATGATTCCAAAATTTTAACACATGATTTAAAAGTAAAACCATCTGTAAACTTTCTACCAGTCAGTATCTACATGTATGCATTTTTCTCACAAATACCCCAGTGGAAAGAATCTTCAGCATGACAGGAAAATCTTAAAATTAATCGAAGATATATTAGGTTTGGGGACACAGTATTTGAAAAATGCATGAAGCTTTTAATAATATTATTGTAAAAAATGTTGTAAAATAATCTGTTATAAATGTAAAGGAATATACATGACTATTTACTTTTATACGTGTATTCTTGAATGTAATTTGTAATTTAATTAATTACATTTGCAAAGTAATTGTAGTTTAATCAATTACATTTCAAAATTCATGTAATGGTAATGGTAAGTTTTGGGAAAGTAAATGTAATTTAATTAATTATTTTCCTATGTAATTTACCCCATCCTTGTCATTGGTCATGTACGTTGGATTGCTATTCGAAATAACTTTTGGTGTCGAGTATCATGAACACAAAAGTTTTTCAATTCGTCTTTCAAATCAAAAGTCCATAGCGGAAAAATAACGATGATAAACAGAAGCATTTCAAGAGGTCTTTCCTCAGAAAGGTGGAAAGACCTAAAAATGCTGAAATCGATAATGTTTACTTAATTTTTACAGACAAAGACAATAGTTTTGTCTTGGGTGAACTACTATTAAGTTCTTTTTATTCTGATAAATTAAAGTCATTACTTTCTTTATTCAGGAATGGATGTGAAGACATTTATGCCAGAATTGAGGGCAGTGTTAAATTGTGATGAACTTGGAGAACTTAAAGATAATGCTGAATTTCAGTACTTGAAACAAGCTGGTTATGAACATATTGGACAAGTGTTATGATTTATATGAACATATTGGACAAGTGTTATGATTTATATGAACATATTGGACAAGTGTTATGATTTATATGAACATATTGGACAAGTGTTATGATTTATATGAGCATAATGGATATTATGTGTTATGATTTATGTTAAGTGAAATAGAAGTGTATAGGCAATATAGTTAATATGCAAAATAGGAAAGGTAGCACAACAATAATGCAATGTGCAGTTGAATTAAGGCGTCAATTGGAATTTTTTTTTTTGGAAGGATTTGTTGTAATGAAAGACATGAATTTACTCTTTTTTCATGTTATTTTTCTTTCATACTGTATAGCAGGTTTCTTAATTAAGAGTGTGAAACATTTGACGGTCATTTCCTCACAAAGGGTTCATGTATACAAGTTTTTTTCACCAAACATGGAGTTCAAACCATTTGTGTAATTTTAAATCAGTTAAAAAATATTAAAGGAGAATGCTTGAGAAACCTTGTTTAAATTTTATGATTATTTGTACGGTTTAAAACCTGCGAAAATTGTTGATTTCGAGCTTAATCTTTAAGGATATTGTTGTTTTTTCTATACATGTATATTGTTTGCTATTAGATGTTCTTATGTTTCTTGACAAGTTTTATTATATTGCATTGAGTCCCATTTTATGAACAATTTGCACATAAAGCATGCAGATAGACAATGTAGATCATGTAAATACAAGCAGAGTTACTAGCTCCACCCTCTGCAATTTGATTGCAAGGCAGTTTGTTAAGTCTTCTGCCTAATACCATGTACATGTTATTAAAATTTTCAACTAATTAGCATCCAGGAAGACAGCCAACTAACAAAATGGATGGAGGATAGTCCAGAATCTTACTTAATGTGAAAAGAATCAGCTAGTTTGGTGAGGTGCATCTTATATTATACAATTATTGCTGTTTTTGAGGTCAAAACAGTGATTTAGCCATCTGAGGAGTAAAATATTCATCGAGCCAGAAGGGTGTTTTATTGTATGAATCACTGATAAACTTATATACAGTTAATCACTTGTTTGAGTTTAATCAAGTCCTAGCCAAATACAAGAGAGAAGTCGAATTAAAATGTTAATAAACCTTACCAGTCGTATCAATTTGAAATGTTTTTTATCAATTTTAGTTGCTATGAAAAAAATATATAATGTCAGTCTTTTTTATAGGATAGATTTTGAAAGGAATGAGTATTATCAGGGAAACTGACCGCCAAAAAGTAAAAATTGTTCAGTAAAAGTGTTGGAGGGAGGTCCCTGCATCCCCTCTTACCAGCCTCACCCGAAAATATATATTCGCTTATGTTTTGTTCACATTAAAAAAAGTCATAGTCGTTTAAATAGCCTTCCGAAACAAACAATTTGGATCAATTTGGAATTCCCGATCTATTTTTAGATCAATGTAGAGGAAATAAATCCTTGTATTCACCAGGAACGTCATGTGCAGGTCAATACAACGTAGTATTTTTCTAACATAGTTGGATCTCAGCCAATCAGAGAGAGGGGAATTATTCAATCATATAATAACATATCATATACCTAGTAGTGTATCAGCCCTGATACAGGCGATTTTCAAACTAGGCGAGACAGCGCCTGGGAAGTAGGGCTGTCTCGCCATCGGGGCTGAGCTATCTCTGTCTCGGCCCGTCGTCAAGGGGCTGTCTCGCCCTCAAATTTAAAATCATTGTTTCTGTTTAATTAGCGTGAATAAAGAGTCAAATTCATATTCAAGTATTAAAGAGAAACAATATTTTTCTACAAAATTAACCTGATTTTATAAATATTATTTATTTATACTAGAATTCTGAGAAAATTGTTTTGAAAAGTGCGCCAAATGATAGCACTTGTGACGTAAGAGAGGTAACTTTTGTTTACTTCTAGGACAGCAACAAATAATATTTTGAAAAAAAAAAAACTGGACGTTTATTTGCTTTGACAGTAAGACAATACCAAGTTTTAATTTAATGTGTCATTTTTTATTAAATATTTTTCGTAAACAAAACAAATAGTTACTATTAATCTCAGACTTACAAATTGTAATGTTTCGTTGAAGAAGTTGTAACCCCGGTTCGATACAAAGTGAAACTAGAATATTTTTAAGTTTGGGACCTTTTTTAAAAATATTTGTTAGGCCTTATCTAATGTGCTTCAAAACGAAATGTTTCAAAACACCAGGGCTATTCTCTTTAATTTTTACATTCGAAAAATATCTGAATATTTGTTCTTTTCTTTGGTTTTAGCCCTCCGGGCTTGGGCCGGTGCGTACAGTGTACCAACCGCTCGGGGTGATACCAGGGCCGAGATCAAAACAACAGTGTGATAATCTATATTTCACTTAGTCAAATTATATAATTTAAAACGTCAAGCATTGATGGATTTTGTGTGTAACAGGTGATTAACAAATGAATATAATTCTTAATATAATAAATATAATGTTTGGGTTGCATTATACATTAATGTAATGTTATATTTTTCTTTTTTTTTTTTACAGCTGATTTATAAGATTGATATAGAGAGGATGTTTAAAGAGTTTCTGCCAAAATAAATTTTGGTAAGGTTATGATACACTTAAGTGTATGTATAATACATGTTATCTGAACTATTTTCTTCATTATTTGAACAGAGAAACTTTTTCTTGCTTACATATTCCAACTTCTAAATTGCTTATAGTATGACCTCAAATTAGAAAGGGCTTCTAATATACAAAATGTTAAATACCGTTTGTTATCAGCTCACCTGAGCCGAAGGCTCAAGTGAGCTTTTCTGATCAAAATTTGTCCGTTTGTCCGTTGTCTGTTGTTGGCGTCGTTGTTGTTGTCGTTTTTGTAAACTTTTCACATTTTCATTTTCTTTCTTAAGAACCACAGGACCAATTCAACTAAACTTTCTACAAATTATTATTGGGTAAAGGGGTTTGAAGTTTGTTCAAATGAAGGGCCACACCCTCTTCCAAGGGGAGATAATTATGAATTAGTGAAAAATTGATGGCATTTAAAACAAGAATTCTTCTCAAGAAGCACTGGTCCAGGAAAGATGAAACATATGGAATCATCCTCAGGTAGATTTAAGTTTGTAAAAATCATGACCCCAGGGCAAGAGTTGGGCCACAATGGCCGAACAAAGTTTTACGTAGGAATATATAGGGAAAATCTTCTCAAGAACCATTGGGCCAGGAAAGATGAAACTCACGTTGAATCATCCTCAGATAGTGTACATTCAAGCTCAAAAAAATGACCTCCGGGGCAAGGGAGGGGCCACAATGACCGATCAAAGTTTTGCATACTGTAAATCACTTATTCGCGAGAACTTTATTTTGGCGTAATTACGCGAGGCAAAGCATTCGCAAAAATTCATTTCTCGCGAATAAAAGTATTCCTTACGATTATATAGAGGAATAACAAAGGAGGAATTACAAAGAGTCAATAACAATCGCGCGAAAATAAGATGTCGCGAAAATTTAGGAATATTTAGGAAAAATCTTAAATAATCTTCTCAAAAACCATTGGAACAGGAAAGATAAAACTCATGTTGAATCATCCTCAGATAGTGTACATTCAAGTTTGTTCTAATCATGACCCCCGGGCAAGGGTGGGGCCATAATGGCCGATCAAATTTTTACATAGGAATTTATTTATAGGAAAAATCTTTAAAAATCATCTTCTGAAGAACCATTGGCACAGGAAAGTTGAAACTCATGTTGAATCATCCTTAGATAGTGTACATTCAAGTTTGTTCAAATCATGGCCCCGGAGGGTGGGGCTACAATGGCAGATCAGAATTTTACTTTGGAATATATAGGAAAAATCTTTTAAAATCTTTTTTTCAAGTACTTCAAAGCTATGATTAGTGATATTTTTATGGAAGCATCCTCAGATACTGTAGATTTTAGTTTGTTCAATTATTTTTCGATATTTATATGGAAGCATTCTCAGGTAGTGTAGAATTAAATTTGTTCAAATCATAACCTTTAAGGGTAGGGAAGGGTCTTAATGGTGGATCAAAGTTTTACATGGGAAAATAAAGGGGGAAAATGTCAATAAAAGAAAAGCTATGTTTAAATGTATAATAAATGGATTTTAAACGATTTTAAATATTTAAAACTAGTTAAAACGGATTACTAGATAACAGTAAAAGAGACATGAATCAAATTCCCAAGACTGAAAACATGTAAGGAGACCGTCATTTTGCACATTAAAAGAGATTGAAGAGTTATCTGCCCGTGATCAATAGAAGAAAAGTTTTGATTTCTCAAAATTTCGGCAGTAAATAATTCATTTTATTTCATATTTTAATAAAGGAAGAGTTTATTCATACTTTAACCAAGAGATTTATTTGAAATTCAAATTACTTTTAACAATATCTCTCAAAAACATGAGCTGTCCATAGACTTCAATGTAAAATTCAATGTGAAATTAATTGTGCAATAATCAAAAATTTGTAAATTCCTTTGGTGGAGCATTTTTATGTGATAATTTCTTTAAAGGGTTACCATTATAAAAAATATCGGACCATCCATAGATTAGGTACATAATATGGCCGTTATACATTGAATACTATAAGTCATATTGACATGTAAGCATCCTCATGTACTGAAGATTTTTTTTTTTTTTTGTTATAAAAAATGATACTTTAAACCAACTTTTACTAGTACTCGAGACGACTTTATTTCGCGATTTAGCAGGGTTGAACTCGTTCGAGACGATTAATTTTCATGACAAAGCTTTATTTTTTGGTCACTTGAGTAACTAAGGTGACCTATTGCTATCCGTTTTCGTCCGTCGTCGTGTGTCGTGCGTTAACATTTGAACATTTTCAGTATCTTCTCTGAAACCACTTAACCAATTTGGTATACAGCATCTATGGATTCAGGGGAACAAAAATTGTGAATTTTATGGTCCCCGCCCCCTGGGGCCTGTGGGATGGGGCAAAAACCTCTTAAATTATTGCAATCTTTAAAAATTTTCTTCTTTACTGACAATGGTCCAAATATATTTAAATTTATGATGAAGAAAGGTGCACATAGCAAAATAGTTATTTTTTATGCCCCCCCCCCCTTCCCTTGGTCGGGGGTGAGGGGGGGTACAAATTCTGAAA